AGATTGATCTACGTGTAACTTAAGACTCCAAATAACAGTAGAACTAAACTCTTATTCAGGTACCCAATTTCATCTGTAAATTACAATTAATCAACCAAATTGGTGAGTCTAAAATTAATGGATTAACCAATCAAGTATAAGATAACAGGTCTTGCATATTGGCGCGAAATATACTCATTCATTTGGTTAAATAGAGTTTTGGAATTGTAGCTAATGTCAGTTCGTGATGAAAACCCCAAATCTAATTCATAACTTTACCCACCAACCGCAAATCATAATACTAATTCCTCACACTGATTTACAATGCGCACTTAGTCCTAGTTATTAGATGGATACTCTCAAGGTCACTCTAGCGTCGCTCAAAGATTGTCCATCAATTAGACTTTCACCACAAAAATATTGTTCTAATAGTAATTATAACAGTTACAAAACGAACCTTCAGTTTCTGGAACAAGCGCTTCCAAATATCAAACCAAAAGCGTAGTGAAACTAAAATTTCAGGGGTCAAAGATCTAAACAAACACCTTCAGAAGTCGAGTAAAACAGATGCATTCAAAAACATGGCGAAATAATTGATATCAATTACAACAGTTTTTATTCAATCAAATATCTTCAGTCCTTCGGTAACACTGCTGATGTATGGTTTATTGCTGTTTTCGCCACACCACTGATGAAGTATCGATTCTGCACAAAACAATCTGTGATTCTGAGGAATCCAAACACAACACCGGGAGTAAATAAATAGATGCCCAAGATATTTACATTAGTATTGATTCAGCGTCCATAATCGTAACTTATTAATATATATATACATATATATATATATATATATATATATATATATATATATATATATATATATATATATAATTTCTACAAATGCACGTACATGTCATTTTTACAGGTATGATCTAAAAATCACAAATTTATTGTTCCACAGCATGCATGATAAATAAATATACTCTATAAAAATGAATATCAGTTCATTCCTTCGGATGTACTGAGTAGTCTTCAAAATATTCTCCAAAGTGGCATCGCGTCCACTTTACACACCAGATCCAATCTCGGCATAAATGTATTAGAATTCTGTTCGTGCCAAGTATTTATGCAATACTTTTTAAGTTTTCAGTTGTTATAAGGTAGACTTGTGTGAACTATGACTTTGGGAAAACACGTACGTCTAGTTTGTTCCAGATGTTAGAAGTTTCATAACTATGCCCTCAGAGCAAGACTCTGAAAATAAGATTATCTGTAACGCATATATTTCTGTACTTCTCTGCCTACTTTGGTAAACAACTATCCTACATTATACTCTTCTCATAGTCTATACTCCGATTGGCAACCTATACGTTATACAATGGTCAATTAAAGCATTGCATCCATGCCTTACCCACAGTCCATAATTTGTAACTGCCTGATAAGCTTGCGAAATGATACTTATGGGAATATTGTTTTCCAACAGGATGTGAAACACAAAGCACCGTGTGAGGTATGATATATATCCAGAAAAAGCTTAAATGAGCCTAACATCACAAAAGGAGGGAGGGTTGAGGTACTTTTCAGCAAGCATTAATAGTGAGGGCGATGACTTTAATCCAACCATGTTTGTGGGGAAGAACATTTTGTTTGTATCAGGCTCTTTATGTTTAAGAACAAGTCAATCAATCTAAGATACACTCACCATTCAGATTCATGTTTCCAATTTTATGCTGGATTAGCTGTTCTACTAAGACAACCTATAACATGCTAACTCCGACTTTTACATTAAGACTGTGGAGCAGGCATCGGATGAAAAAAATCAGACAATAAAAGACACAGTCATTAGTTTTCTTAATACTTTACTATCTATATGCACTTTCTGTTCTAGTAAACAGCCTTCTTTATCCCAACCCTGACTTTCCTTTCAACATTTGAAACTACTCCACATTGCTAATATCAGGACTCAGTGTTCTTTATTACTGCATTCTCTCATCTGGAGCCTCTGGTCACATTTCACTTTAGCTACAGGAGCTAGTATGAATTTAATCTGATAATTTATAATACCTCTTTCTGTTCCACTACAAAATGTTAGGCATTGTTTATCGTTCATATCCAAGCGCTTTGCTGCTCCTTTGTTAATCTAATTTTCAGAGTCTTGCTCTGAGGGCATAGTTATGGAACTTCTAACATCTGGAACAAACTAGACGTACGTGTTTTCCCAAAGTCATAGTTCACACAAGTCTACCTTATAACAACTGAAAACTTAAAAAGTATTGCATAAATACTTGGCACGAACAGAATTCTAATACATTTATGCCGAGATTGGATCTGGTGTGTAAAGTGGACGCGATGCCACTTTGGAGAATATGTTAAAGACTTTACTCAGGGTAAAGCCAAAACGTAAACCTAATCATTAACGCTTCAAGACATGTGTACGAATGTACTGTTTTTCACTTTTATTGATTTTATCTGTATAACTGCCCTGCTAGGGAAACATACTGAGAACCAATAAATGTTGTAATTTGTAGGCCATGTCTGTAAAAAATGGCGTGTACCTTTCCTGGCAGAAATATTATCATTATCTTCATTGACGTATTCGAAAATTCACTCACTTGATAGTAGATGCTTTAGACAAATAATTGAGCGGTACTTTTAACCAATTTGCCGGAAACGCCTGGGAACCAATTGTGTTCTTCGCAAAAATATCTATTCAAGAAGAGGCGAGATATGCTTCCTTCGGAGAAGTACTTCTATCAATGCACACAACCACTAGGCAATCCTGACACACGTTAGGACCAGGGAATTCATAGTTTATACGAATCATAAACCACTAACTAATGCATTAAATGCTAGAGTCGATAGGCATTCTCTCGAAGAGCTCCAACACCTCGAATTTATGCCACAAACAGAACGTTTGCAATAAAACTAGAGTAATCAGTACGTATATTGAATACCCATACTACTATATTTTATGAGGTTATTCGGTGTTGCTGTAATATTTTCAGGTTACTTAGTAACATTATTCAAACTTACTTTTATTTGCTGACATCTCCGAATCATTAAAGTGGGACACGTTCCGAACACTCTTTAGTTTTCAGACTCAAGAACGAAACTGCATTCTTTCCATCAGTTGATACCAAACTAACTCTATAGATAGTTATCCTCAGTGATTTTTTACGCCACCACAAAGCATGTTTACAAATTAACAGTCGCACAATATAGTCGATACAAGCCGCGTAGAAAAAAAAACACAATCAGTCAATAAATTTACTGACAATTATTTTCATAATTGATGCATTGTTTTTCCGCATTTGCCTTCATCTAGCACAGTTAGTTTCTATATATTTTTTTTTCAGTTCATACCTCAATCGGTACCGTTGAACTTTATCAGTTCCATTAGTTTTTTTAAAAACAGCAACTTGTGTGAGGTAGTAGGAAAAGCCTAAACTAAGACGAGTGATCTTCAGTACATTTTTAATAAGGAATCTCAAACAGTACAAGCTCTACGTGATCCCAGAAAAGTTCTTAAGTACTGTCTATGTTCCAGGTTAAGATTAACAATTTGAAACACGGAAGGATTATTTGTAGGACTATTAACAATAGGCTATCATTGAATGAGCGATAAGAACTCATTCATTTCAAGGTGGTGTTTAGAGACAGGAAATAGCGCACAAACAGTAAGATCGTCCACACATTTGACACAAGTGTTTTTGTGGAAGACGGAGGACCGTACACAGAAAAAAGGCAAGAACAGCTCTTTGTAGCGCTGCCATCAACACACATAATACTGCTTTCTTCCACAGAGGTGGAGATACAGACGAGTATCCAGCTGTCGGAGTTGACACTGGTGTGCCTGCTTGATAGTGTTCATGAAATAAAGTCAAATTCAGATGTCTAGCCCTGAAATGTGCATTTAACGTATCTCTTACCCCTTTTCAAAATGAAGACAACACTGTCATACAGAATAATAGCAGCATCCAAGGTATGTGTTTTGCATTTGTGAGCAAATTGGTATTGATCAATATTCTCTTTTAATTCAAGTTGAACATGAAGTGAGAAAAGTCGAAGTTACTGTTAAGGGCCTAAATTTAGCAATCTTACCACCTGATACTTTCTTTGGTACTGAGATTACCTTCGTCTTTTTATACATTTCTGGTAAAAAATAGTTAAAGAGGATCCGCTGAAGATCCCCATAAATAGACGAGACAAAAGCCAACACATTTCTCATCATGGATGCTTGGCCACTTGTCATATCTTAAACACTGGAATGATTCGAGGGACTGGAGGCACTTTCTAGCATCAGTTCGCCTTTGGACTCGCGGATGAAGGAAGCATGATATCAAAAGATTGACATACAATAAACGTATTCAAAACATGAGCATTCAGCTGGGCTTCTTCACTAATGAGTCTCCCACTTTCAGGCTCTTTAACTAGTTATCGCACGTTAGAAGTGATTTTACGGGACAGACGCTTCTGAGTAGACACGAAGTTCAGACGTTTGATTTCTTGGTTTATTAAACCATTCAGCTTTCGAAATTCAACGGAATTTTTCTACCCGTACATCACCTCTTCTCCCCTCCTGACTACGAAACTGGTTTCAGTGGGACAACAAACAGTAAAGCGGAATTTAAGATAACAAGTGACAGCATCGACCGTGTTTTCCAATGAGTCGATTGTAAATAAACCACAGTTTGTTGTATGAAGCATGTTTTCAAACCTCGGATATTTTTCCTCTGAGTAATTCCTGTACAAGCAGTTCTAGGCTTGATGCAAGAGTATACTGTTTACTTTAGATAGGGCGTGAATATTATGATGACCAGAACTAAGCAATCTAAAACATTTACGAGTGATACTTGAGGTTTAAATCCGTCTTCCTAAGTTTTAAAGACATGCAATTTTCAACCGTGAGCATACGAGCTCATTTTTCTGGTTACCTCTCAAACAAGTTTCTTTACAGCTGCATTCATAATTTTAAGATTGAAGGCTGTAGCATATTTCGTTTGTGCTATTTGCGCTTCCAACAGCGCGCAGTCTAGATAGGTGCACAGTTTAAAATGCCGGCTCAATTGTCTGTTTTCTGAACGATGGATCTACGCTACTTTGCTATAACAAACGAGAAACATATCGTCTGGCATCGGTCGTTCTCAAAACGTAGCTTTGAAGATGTGGTACTTAAATATCTGTTATGTAATCCTCCAGATCAAGATATATACTATAGCGAAGGGGAGTAAGTGCTTCAGTCTTGATTTTATTTTCACTCTAGTTTCTCTCTTCACTGCCTGACTGTTTCAGGACTTTCCTTTATCGCGGTAACCGATCGAAATGCTTCTCGACAAAAATTTCGGAACTTGGTTGTAGAGGTTAGTCTGTTCACGAATGAACTTAGTTTTTATAATTTTTTTGCTCAATTAACATAATGGTATTTAATGATTTAATCTCGAAAATAATATGTAATTAGTGTGTATGTGGAACTGCGCAAAACAGTCGGACTACCTAACTTTATTATCGTACACATTTAATCAAGGGGAACAATTTTTCTTGGGGGTTCAGATGTTCCATAGTGTTGATATGAAACTAATCTCCAAACGCTGTAGATTGTGGAAGAATAGTGCGAGCATAACCACAGATCAGTGTCATGCTACTTGGAAGGCACTTTTACACGTGTCGTTCATACGAATCCGTTAAGAAATGTCACCAATCTTAATACGATCGAATGAATTGTTGAATTATAGTACGACCCAAAAGGTCCGAGGTTTGTTCTAACGAGGAATACTATTACATTCATGGTACAATTGAGGCTTTTGGGATCCAAGTACCATGTTGACGTTCCAGTTCTCTGTATGTCACATGTAATTTCGCCCTTATAATACACGTCTAACGTTAAATTCACATTTATACACCGAAAATCTAAAATCCTACTAACAAGTGTGATGATAAAGTCTTTTTTTGTGACCACAAATATCGGTTCTATTTGGTGTAATTCGAAACCAACTTACTCACTAGCTGGACTAGGTAGACTGATACTCGAATATGAAAAGTTGAGTAGCTCACTCAATGTGATTGAATCCAGTCCACAGAGTAGTGTGATATAAATTTTGTTGCTTCAAAGCCTCTAGTTTGAGAGAGCTTCCAACTTGAGATTGTGAAGTAACATCATTCCCACTTTAAACGCTCGACTGATAATAATCGGTAATATTATTAGTTCTCAGTTTCCTGTCGATTTTGGAACCATGTTTGATAGATGTATTAGATTTCCCTTCAGCTATTCCCTTCAATTACCGCATGTTTATCAAAAATCCCTAAAGCGAATTAACTACGTGATAATAATGAAGTCTAATTTTGTTTTTCAACACTTTAATTTTCAGGTTTCTCGCAATTTTCTAAGCGATGGTACAAGATTTCAAAGGGCTAAAAGTGGTGGTAAAGATTGTTTACAACAGTCTTATAATATAACCTTGGAAGATTTGATGGTAAGTTATATTGTATCATTTCTGATTGTAATCTTTTAAGAAGTAAGTTATGGTTGATGTATAATATACTGAAATTGTATGTACTTTGACTGAACAACTCCCTAATATCTGGGAATGTTGGTCTGTGGCTTGTTTCGCGAGTCTAAATAACTAAGACGTCTGAAAATTTCAGAGATAGTCAACTATCTTTTAGCTTTAAACGTTATTCTAAGATTTTTTTTCTCGGTGTTTTAACATCGCCTCAATTGGTTTAATCGTTTATGTGGTAAGGAATCGTAATTAGACTTTTAGTTTTTTAGTATCCTGAATCTATCGATTGTGATATAACTGTGGTACGAAAAATAATGATACAGGACTTGAAACTATCAGTCCACTACGACTTCCCGGTTAGAGTCTTGGTGATTGTGGAGAAGTTATCAGGTGTTACTCAGAGTCAGTGGCTATTCTGCTATAGTTCGTGAACTGAGGGGAGTCGTTTTTGGCTAGATTTTTGACTAGACGTTTTCTCTGATTGAATACTGTTCTTAATATTTATGAATTGTGTGACTTCTCACTTCTTTTTCCCTATAATATTTTCAATTCCTTTGTATGGAATGATTTTGTGCTGAAAGCTATATCAAATATTCCCGAGTACTTGTACTACTAACCCCGTTTCATTGATTTGTTTGTCTATCTTAAACACAATCAGATGGCACATAGATTTTCTTTGGCCGCTTTGAAACCCCATAGTTCTTCAATCCCTATTATTTATCTTAAAGAAGAGTACATGACTGCATTTATACATCATCTGCTTTTAATTGCTGAATACCATATTTTTTACTTAATGACGTCGAATATGTGTCCACCGTCGTCCACATGCATTGATGTAAGCGAGAATATATTATGCCGTTTGCCCGCTAATGGGTGTCTATGCAGTCGAAGATAAAAGGGCGTCCACCTTGTCCGATGTAGTGTAGATGATGTTTGGTTTTTCTTCTTTTGTCCCTTCGTCCTGTGGTTTGCATAGGGTTAGTTAAAGTGATTTTACTGCTTTATATTCTCCACCTATTCCAAGCAGCTTCAATAACGTTTTAATTTCAGATATGTCCTTTATATATGGTAGGATTATCCGTTTGCTGATTTCTGTATTTGATTTCGTTTCTGATAATAAGTTGGGTTAACATTTCTTGATGAACTTGTGTGGGTAGCCGTTCTTTTGGTGGATGGTCACCAGATATTTTCCTTCATTTTTCCGTGCTGAAAGTGTGCTGCAGTGTGCTCTCACTCTCTTGAATAAACTTTGTACGTAATTGATCTTCTGAGTTTTTGGGTTGTTACTGCTGTAGTTGAGAATTTGATCTGTGTGGGTTGGCTTCCCATATACTTGAGTCTCTAGTTTTCTTGTGTCGGTTCTGATAATCAGTACATCGAATAATGATAATTTGTTGTTCGACTCCTTTTACATTGTGGATTTTATGTCATCGAAGACGATTTTGATCAGATTGTAGTTGTTTCCTATCACATCGCTTTTGATGATGACGAATACGTAGCCCACATTTTGGTTTGATCACCGGTAAAATCGAGTCTTTTCGTCTCTGCACCACTGCTTCTGCAATAAGTTCTACTGTTGATAACCTGATCTATGTACCTTTCGTTCGATTAGAAAAATGTTGAGATCTGGATAGAAAAAATACTAAGAACACCAAAGAATTTGTCAGAGGCTTGGCACTCGAGTCAGTCAGCAATCAACAAACTCATAGAAATCGATCTAATCCATCAACCAATTAAAAAAATCATGGACAAATCAGATCGAAGGGAGATACGCAGAATATGCAGAATAAGTGAAGACAAGTAAATGATGGTTACTAGTTGCATTTCCCGCGATTTGAAGACCAAGAACTAAGGTAGCAAAATAAATAGGAAAACAAAAAATAGATGAATCAGTGTCACCTCATCTAGAGGACTTGTTCCTTGAAAGCCGACTATTCCTAGGACATTCTAACAACTTCCATCCCTCTTTATGGTCCCATAATTTCATCCATCGGCATTCTACACCGAAGCTTAACATATCTTACCCGGCTGTCCTATGAAACACAAAATAAACTCCAAAAATACTTACCACTCAATTTTCAGTCCTTTTTCTATCTGCTTCCTCAAGTTTGTAGAACAGAGCACCTAGTCTGTATACTTTGTGCTTGACCGTTCAAATTAATTCTTCTTAACAGAACTCAATAATCGAGTGCAAATTCGTTTACTTAGTTTTAGGCCATATTTCGGGCGAAGGCTAATAACACTACCACCTAGTTATTTGAAGTGAAGTATGTAAAGAGAGGTTGAACCCTTCAACCTGTCGGTCTGAAGTTTAGAAATTTAGTCAACTAAACACTGCTTTGTCTATAGAAAAGTAGATTTCCTATTATCACCAGTCTAAGTACAGAAGCCTTGTGTATTCGTGACATCTCTGATGAAACTGATTTCCAAAGGAAACGGATTCCCTTATTTTGTACTAGATAGTAAAATGTCTTTTTGGTCACTTATTCGTATCATTCCCATGTCTGTTGATCCGTCTTTCTCTTTATCAAAGTTAATTTGGATTCTGTCTCCAATCTGAATTGCATTTATACTGCCAACCTTTTTAATTACAATAGTTATTTTAAATTAACTACTTACCTATTCTAGAGTAATCAAGTTTATGTCTCTGGCTATTATCACAGTTTCTTGAATATGATGGAAAAGTACTTCATAATAACGAATCCATATGTTCCAACTACTTTTGTAATTACCACATTTTAATAGCTAAACAGTAAATAGCTCTAACTGTAAAATTCATTTCATGTTTACCCGTATTGATATTATCGTTGTTCTTTCTAATTGACTATTGTGTGCAACGTCATTTTTCCCATATTTACTGTATTTTTCAGGAATCACCCAACTCTTCTAAGGGAAATGATTCTTTGGACCAGTTACGTAATAATGTGAATACTGTAACAGCTGTAATGCAAGAGAATACTAGACTAGCGCTTCAACGAGGTGATCGGTTAAACAATTTGGTCAGTAAAACAGATGAACTTGCAGCCAGCGTGAGTGTTTGCAATTATATAATGTTTTGTATTATTTTCGGCTTTAATTTGGGCTTATGCATTTATATTCAAATTATTATAATAATTAATTTTCTCTGAAAAATTGTTTCATACCATAAATATTTGCTTGTGACATTCTATCCATAGAAAAACTTATATCTCAGATGTGACCTGGACTTGACTTTAAAATCCAACCATATTCTTATTATAACCCGGGATACACTAATTCAAACAGTATTCAGCCGACCAACGTCTTATGAAGTAGTGACTTAATGGTCGAAGCACTTGTCTTTCGTACTATAGATCAGAGGTTCACACCCCATTCCACTTAATTTGATTTGGGCACCCAGGTAGTATTATAGTGAACAGAACACCAGTGGGGACAGTCGGATGTATCTCAAAATCTGAGAACCATATAGTAAATCGTTAGTTTGCGATATACCAATCCATCATCTCAAACTTAACTGTTCCTGTTGCAAACATAAATCCATTGTCTCAGATTTCATTGTTCATGCGTTTTCATACCAATTGCATTCCGTTCCCGTTCTTTCCTCATCGACCTACTAAAATACATTCTATGCCTGACCACTGTTATATACTACTTGTGTGGATATAAGTAACCCACACCACAGTATTACTTGCCTACACACAAATAGCTTGGTTCACGGCTAATTACCTAAATAAAGTACAAAAGGTGTATGGTCCATTCAGTCACTGTTCTACATTGAATCCGAATTTGCGATCACCTTTAACGATCTAGTTAACATCAGGATGACTTGTCGTTTTCGCACTCTATTTGTGTTAACACTACTGGGAAGTTGTTTATCAAACGACTTGCGTTTTTGTTTGAGGAATTGCTACTAAGTATACTAAGATATTGATTTCTTGCTAGCAATGTATCTCAGTAGACTAATTGTCATAAATCCGATCATGTTTAGTAAGTGATCAGCACCAGAGTTTACTCTAATTTTGTCGTCACTATTTAAAGAAAGGCGGGTAAAACTTACTATACTGGGGATCTTGGGTGACTTATTATCCAATCAGAAAAGTGTTTACTTATAAAATAATCAACAATAAGAAGTCATAAATAAAATTGTTGTAGATAAATAGTTCTAACATGATCAATGAACCTTTATGTGTTAACTTATTATAGTAAACGAAGAATGATAAGGGTTATGTATTAGGAGTTTGGGCTAGGGTTAGGAGCTTTTTACTCGCAAACTGATACAGCTATGATGCGAGTGCTTTATGGCAATATGGATGAATGAATTTCGCGCAAATATTCAAGAGGTGCTATCTAATGCCTAACTACTTCGTCCATAATTTATGGAGAGGTTGGAGTGAGAAAATACTTTGCGATCATATAAACGCTCTTGACTATATCCAAAATCACATCACTTAGATACAATCTTCATTAGCGGCGGGTATTTCTCTGAGTCACGTCTATTATGTCGTTGCATAAGAATACTTTTTCCATCGATCTTAAATATTTTGGGAACTAGATATCGGTAGGGTTTGTTTAGTTTGATTTTTGCGCAGAAATCGGATATGGGTTATCATAAGTCTCGATCTATTTAAGGTCGTCAGTATAGTTCAGTTTTACCAAGACGTTGACTCACTAGGTTGTTGGCTGAAAGGTATAGTATTGCTATTCCTATTCAATATGTTAAACCAACTTTGATTTTATATCTTATCCTGTTGTATCAGTTAACATTTAAACTAGCCGGTAGATTGTTTTCAAGATACAATATGAAAAGCAAATATCAAAACTAGTATAACTGAAGCTTACAAGTCCTCTTAAGGAGAATAAATAAATTAAATAATATTTTGAAGAGTCGCTAAGTTAGTGTCTTTAAATTTAAAATCACGTACCAACTTATGTAGAATCATGAAATGAACTAAGAATATCTGGATAATAATACCTCGTTTTAAAGAGAAATACATATATATATAATGTAAGGGTTTTTATGCAACTTTTTTTGTGTTGTATTTCGACTTTTTAGAGTTATAAATTACATGACATTTTTATTAATCATCGGTTGGCTTTTGGTTTTCGTGTAGTTTCATCCTTTGAGCCGGATAATTGAACCTTGAAGCATTCGTTGTTCTTCTAAACAACATCATCAACATAAACTTCAGGTAGTTTACGTTGGAAATGTTGTCCAGGAGAACTATGAAGACTTCATGGTACAATCATTTAATTCAGAAAACGTAATTTTACCTGATCTTCTCTCCCATTTTTATACGTCAATTATCCTTCTGTAATCCAGCTAATGAATTTATCTCAATATATATTCAATACTTGCACTTTTATTTCATTTTTGACTCAAGTTAACTATTATCTGTACAGAAATGTAGGTTGTAACATTTACTTCCTAACTTAGTGCTTGTAAATGTATAAACAAAAAAGCAATACTTGCAGATATTAATTTACTTTGTTTATTGTTTTTCTCCTCGATCGATTACTCCCTCACTCACACATGCACACTATGTCTTTCTGTTAGTATACAACCTTTTTCTCTTCGCATTGTAAGTTGTTCTGTCAAGGCAACGCATTTTGTTTTCCTTCGCAACCGATTTCTTCTGAAATTTAGTACAGGGTCGTATGTCACGGCTATTGTTCTATACATTCATTTATATGTAGATTTCTTTTGCTCATAATAATATAGAAATTTGTTGTATCTTGTGTATTCTAGTTTTGCTTTTATCGTTCTCCTTTGAGAGCATAATTTATTTAAGGGAAAATTATTATAGATAAGGCAATGTTCGCTTTCATATTGAATACTATGATTTTTGTATTAGAACTGTTCAATTAGTCGATGACTCGACAGTTCTGTGAATTGTGAGGAAAATAGTACTTGAACATTGTTGGGCCCTTTATGTGTTAGTGTAACTGTTTCATAGAAAAAGGCGAACCGTAATCCACTCTCATTCCACAAAACACAAAGTAACAGTCCAACTGGTCTTGAACTACTCTTCAGTTACCCACTATTTCCAGACAACCTCAATAGAAAATTGACATATCTTACAACTATTACCAAAGTTGATAAGGCCATGTTCAACTCGAAGAAAGACTAATGATTTATTTTTATATTTCCCTATGTATAAACTCACAAAAATTATTCAAAATCGTTTTTCTTCAGGCTAATCAATTCCAAACAACTGCTACAAAGGTGGCCCGAAAAACTTGGTGGGAAAATTTTCGTATGAAATTAATTATTGTTGGCGTTGTCGGTGGCATACTTCTGGTAATTGTGATAATTATACTCTGGCAGACTGGAGTGTTCAATAGCAAATCGCAACACCAGTAATAATAGCAACAGTAAATAATTCACTTCATATTGTTTATTACATGGAACAGAAAATACAAAGAAACACCCATATTAAAATTAGGTGAGATATTCGATGTGTTTTTTTACTGGACAAATTTATACAACACTTATTCCATTCAAACGTCTTGTTAAAATTTCCATTTTCTTTACTGCGACATGTTTTCCTTTTTGTCCCTCGTGACAGATAAATTTTACAAATGATGACAATGATTGTTATTGCACAGTATATTGTAATTTTTATGCTATACTATAAATATACATACTTGAGTCTTTTTTGTAATCACTATCCCTACTACTAATCCTATATTAACTACTTCTCACTGATGTAGTGTCTTTTCTATATAGGCGCAGAGATTTAGTAACAATTATATATATATATATATATATATATATATATATATATATATATATATATATATATATATATATATATATATATATATATATAGTGTTCGGAATGATTTTTCACTCAACATCTATCTCCTTTGTATGGATGACTATCTTTCCGATGTATATTGATTATTTATTCTTTATTGATTCCAATACACATTTTCTTTACCTTCAAAAACAATGACTTTTTGAAAGCTGATGATTATAAATAAATGAAAGATAAAAGAGGTACAAACTGTTTGATATCTTTTTGTTGGAATTACACTTTATAAACGTATGTATTTGTGTTTATACGTGCGTGTGTTCATGTATGTTCAAGTGGCTTCATAATAATACCATCATTATTCATTTTCATCATTATTTCCGTGCCCTATCCTTTTTACTTCTTCTCTACAGATAATCTAAAGTATACTCATTTCTGTACTATTTCTTCTTTCGATTGTTCTTATTATTATTAACATTGTGAAAAAAATGTGTATTTGGAATTTCTACTCTGGAAGAATTCCTTCTTATTATTGATTTATACTTATCATGGTTTTACTTTTTACCAGATTTAAATTAATATGTTTGCTCAATATACATAAATTTTCTTTTCCTTTTTTTAAAAAGAAAAATCATATTTGTCGTGTAATGAATACCAACAAAATTGAATTCTAAATTTGTTTTGGATTTCTATAAAATTAATGGAATGATTGTAATGTTGAATCTGTGTAAACGCATAAATTTAACAGACTAGTTCAGGTGTGTGTTGTATTTGTTTTTGGTTACTATAGTGTTGACATATCGACGAAGTAAAACATGGGTGTTTACCAAAATGATTTTTCATTTTGATTCATTTAAGTTTTGGATTTTGTTTAAGACCCGTTACTTCCATTTAGTTGTGCATTCGAAACCATCTCCATATTCTGATGTTTGGACGTACGAGTCAGTCTGTCAGTCAGCTACAACGTAGGACCAGGCACATTTATGCATCGGTCCAAGTTGCCATACCTCATTAACACAACAAGATGGACACCGGATTCATAAAAGTAGTTAATTCAAAGTTGATAATATATAAAAGAAAGATTGCAATAAGGATATAGTACAGAAAGAAAGAATTAGTTCGTAGAAAGAAAGATATGAAGCGATTTTAATCTCTTAGTTTAAGGGAAGACAGGGAGTGTATACACCGACGCCATTGTGATCGATTCTGAGCCATGTCACCAAGAGTCTCCAACCATTGGTTACGACAGTCACGCGGACCCCAACCAAGTAGTCTGCATCTACCAACATGGCTTAGACTAGAGGTTAGTGTCTTCAAGCACTGATGCCACGTTTTGGTTTGGCCGCCCCTAATTCTCTTCCAACCATCTCTAACACCCGTTAGCATTTCACGTCGTGGTAATCGATGTTCGGGCATACGTAACACGTGGCCCAACCATCTCAGTCGACGAAGATTGACAGCCTCATCGACTGATTTACCATCCCTCCCTAATACCCTACGTCTAACCTCACTATTACTTACCCGGTGATCCCAACAGACGCCAGCAATATTTCCAAGATATCTGTGGTCAAATACTAGGAGCTTACGAGTGTCTTCTACTCTTGAAGGCCATGTTTCGCTGCCGTAAAGTAAAACAGAACGGACTGCCGCGCAGTATACTCGTCGTTTTATTGATAGACGGATATCTCACCTTCGCCATAGGTGACGTAAGTTGGCAAAAGCACAACGAGCTTTTCGAATCCGTGCTGAGTCTTGAGTGCTGTTAGAGGTATGAGGGCAGTTGTCACCTCCCGGTTGCCCACACCGTGGAAGGGTTCTTCTGGAGGTACCTGAAAAGGAAATTGGGTTAGAGGTGGTCTTAGTGACCTGGGAGTGTGTCCGCAGTGCCCAAGGGACAACTGCTTGAGGTCAGTCACACACGACCTTTTTATGGGTAATTTTTGTGTTATTTCTGTACTTGTTGAAACCTTACCGTCGGAGACGGATATCTGTGGGATAAGGCGAGGTGTGCATTTTTAGGGTCGACCTTTTCTAACCCCACCCCTCCTTGTGGGAAGGCGACACCGCTGTCATGCTGGTTGTCTGAAGGAAACACCTTACTGCTGTCACACCTTTGTACAGTCAGCAGTATGACTTCGCCCTCGGACCTTGGGTTTGTTGCTTTTAGTCTTACCGCTCTTCAACCGACCTGTCTGACATGGTAGGACCTTGAGGAACAGTTGTTCCAGCCAGTATAGCTCGGTTGCTTCATCACGATAGGCAAGCCCGACCACCACGTCAAGGTAGCAACAACGGTCGGGTTGGACGTACGAATTGTAGTACTATTAGGGCATTCGTTATGTTTGGCTGAAAATGTAATATGCGAACATTTATGCAGTTCCTGAGACTAGAATTATTTATTAATAAAAAGTATTCCTATAAATAGGAGTAAACTACAACCTTAAAAAACCGATGAATTCGTAGACATTTTATAGATGTTTTAAAAAAAAACTCATGGTTAATGAGGTTGAACAGAACTTCCCTACTAATTTTATTATTTATACAAATATAACGTCAGTAATGATGTTACAGATCACTATTTGTAGTCCACCACTTAACATGAGAATCAAATTATTCTTAATTTTTGTCAGATAGTTTTTTCAAAGAAGAATATAAAGTTACTTATGATGTGCACAATTATGTGATGCGAAATATTCTATCTCAATTATTGTTGTAACTGTATCTCGTTTCCTGAGAATAAAAAGTTTCATGTGTTAATTGACGACTGTTTTTGAATAAAGATGATGGGAAAATATTTCTTTCAGATCCATACACAGCTCATCGTCGCCATCAACTGTTAATATCTTTTTCTGTTATACTCCTGTCTTTCTCTTTGTTTCATATAAACATTGTTCGTGGATCTTAGTTTGGATTACACGATCTGTATGAGTTGCGTAATTGTTTAATGTACATATTGCTTTTAAGTAATTCGTTTCTGTGGTGATTTTATTATGTTTCAATGTAAATTTCAAACAGCAAATGTATATATGGCTTCCACAGCATGCCATTTAACTATTTATTTCACCATCATTCTACCTTAAAATTGAGAGGAGCATCATTAGTCACAAGTGATATCGGGCATCAAAGTCACGTTAATATTTGTTATTAATTTGTGGCTTCGCTAATTTATCGTCTTTATAATATGATCTGATAATACTTACTGAATAATTTACAGTTTATATAGATTAAATAACTGAAAATTGTATGTACTCACTAAAGTGTGTCAAATCAATGAGTTTCGTGAGTGTAATGCTGGGTACTTTTTTTCTATGTTAACATTTTTACTTAGCACTATCACTATAAATAGACCAAGTAATTTACTGATCATTCATTAATAAGGTTGCAGAGGGTAATATTAAGTTTGCCAAGCATTAACACAATAGATTCTGATTGATTGTTACTGTTTAAGAAAATAACATCTAGTTTTCTTAATTGTTATTGATGATACCTGTATAATTGGCTTCTGTCTCCACAATACATAAGCAAAATAATGAAATATTTTATATGAATTTTGATTGTATCGGTCTGAGTAATATAGTTTATATTACATATAGGATTGCATCATCATTCCATAGATTTCTTAAATGGTAATATTTAACATAAATAAAAATAATTTTAACAATGAAACAGGTACAACTGTCAGATTTTTCGTTATAAACTAAAAAAGATTTATATTTCTTTAATATTTCTATCTATTTTAACATTACTCAGTATACTATAAGGCTAGTTTAGAATCAATTTCTCTAACATTCTTATTAATATAGAAGAATAATGGATTATTATAGTAGTACACATTGATATTAGTCGACTCTTATTGTAATAAGTTTTCTATCTTTTATTTCTCTACAAAAAAGAAACAATCACTGATAAATTTTACACGTAGAAGTTCATTTCTGATATGTATCTTTTTATAAATTACATTTTCTAATTGATTAGTGACATATATACAAGTAGTTCTTATTATTTACATAATATTTTATTATCTTTATAAGTCCATTGTTTACGTGAAATATAATCATCAAATCGATTTTTGTTTCGTTTGATAGACATATATTAAGTTTGAGTACATAATAATGGTCTCCGATCAAATGTACCTTAATTTAGTACAGAATTTATACTAATCATCTGATTAGATGATGAATAAATAATTTTTTTGGTGATCAGCTGAAAAATTTATATTATCAAAATTTCTTGTAAGAATGTATGATTTCTGAATAGAAATAATAATAATAATATTGATTGAATTATGGTTTCACTATATCACGAATAGACTAAAGTTGGATATGCTAGTTACTGAATTGTGGTTTATTGAACAGCTTGATTACACTGCAACGTTGAAGTGAGCTTGCATCTTGTGATAACTCAGTTGACTTACATTAGCCATAACCTTCTTTCATGTACTCCCTACTATGCTATGCAGGGGGATTAGGAGAAAGGTAAGATTAAAAGAAACAAATTTATGTTCGAAGGCGAAGTCATACTGCAAACTATACAGAGTGTGACTACAGTAAGTTCTTTCCATTAAACAACCAGCATCTGTAACGATCTCGTCTTTCTACAACAGAATGAATGGGTTTGAAATGTTCAGCTGTAACAATAATACATTTCAACTTGTGATACGGATATCTTTCACCAGTAGTAAGGTATAAAAAGCACGGAGCTAATGCACCAAAACTACTCGCAAAAAGGTCGTATATAACAGATCTCAAACGATGTCCACTTGTGCCCTCCAGTCACGCCCTTAGGTTAATTAACCACTTCTAATCCTGTTACTTTTTAAAGTGTTT